TGCGGCTGAAACGGACCAGCAGCGGCTGAATCGGGGATGCCTGGGACAGAGCTGGACTATCGGAAGGGGGGGGCTATGAGGCATCTGGGGTGGCATCCCCCCACTACCCTAGACCCCTGATAGCCCCCCCTTCCGATAGTCCAGCATATTTGATAATCTGGCACCCCCTGGGTCCTAAAGGTGCCGGATTATCGGAAGTTTACTGTATGTAGTTTAGTGGGCCAGAAAAAAACAGTTTAACTTAGTGGAGCCACTGTTAATGGGACTGATATCTCATTTCCCCATTTTTTCTGGTCTGGCTCTTTGAAATCAACGCTATTCCAGGGCCTAATGACATGTATAATAGTACCTCAGACAAAAACCAGCATGCAGATGGTCTGGTAGCACTTTATAGACTAACAAAACATGTAGATGGTATCGTGAACTTTTGTGGGCACAGCCCACTTCTTCAGATGACCGGTCATCTGAAGAAGTGGGCTGTGCCCACGAAAGTTCACGATACCATCTACATGTTTTGTTAGTCTATAAAGTGCTACCAGACCATCTGCTTGCTGGGTTTTTTTCTGTAACAGACTAACTCGGCTCCCCCCTGAAGTACCTCAGAAGCTATAGAGAGTTAGGAGAGCTATAGAGAGCTTTGTGGCCACACTTTTTGCAGCTTCTTTTAGAACTGGCACTTACATATGTTTTGTCTACACCACCAATTTTGGGGAAAACTTTCACTGTTGCTCCATTAAAATAGATGGAGCTTGAGTGTTTTCCTAAGTCATTGTCCAACTTTGTTTTGATGACTGTTAGGTGATACATTTATAACAACACCTGTCCCTGTCTGCTCTAATGTTTACCACCATTGGAGTTGATGTGGTGCAGGGCCAGTGGTAGTGCAAAACTGGGAGATTTTCTAAACACTGCTACTTCAGGAATAGCCATAAAGACAACAGATGCAGTAAAGAGAGGTACAGCCTTGTTAAAGGTTGGCAGTGGGTCAATTCGCAAATGCCAGTTTGGATGGATAATGTGTATAAGACGACTTTACACTGTTATAGCACCATTCTTCAAAAGTTCTCAAAACACTTTACAAACATTAATTAGGTAAATTTAATTCCTCTGTATTATAAATTGCCATTTGCAAATGGGGGACTGACGAATATAAAGATACAGTTGTTTACCACAATAAAGATGCAATCGTTTACCACAAAATAGTCTTGTTGAAAGTACTTTCATGAGTAAGTGCTCATCGTTATAAGTAAATGTCACACTCTGGACTAATGTCTTGCCTAAATTTATACTGAAAGTTGGCAGTAGAGCCAGGAATGTATAGAGCCCAGTAAACCAGATTGATGACCAGTGCTATGGTCTAACTTGGGATGGCAATAATCTTTTGCTGGGGCACATTTAAGAGATTTTTGAAGTGGCCCCGGGCCATATCCATAGTAGTTATTTCTACTATTTGAACCCATAGACAATGATTTTCTGAGGGAGGGGGAGCACCTTTGTCCCCTGTACACCCCCTTCCCCATCGGCTCTCCCTAGGTACCCAGGCCCCTGGTGGTGGGAGGAGACTTCCTGCGCTCCCCCCCCCCCAGATCAATCAGGGCCTGGGGGCAGGGGAGCATGCTAAGTCTCCTCCCACCCTGCCAGGAGCACATGGCGCTTCTAAGCACTCTGTGCTCTTCACAGGGTGGAGGCAGGGCAGAAGAAACTTCTCACACTCCCCTTTCCCTCAGGACAATCGGCTTGGGGGTGGGGGAGCATGTGAAGTCTCCTCCTGCCTTGCCAGGAGCGCACGGTGCTTCTAAGTGCTGCATACTCCTGGTAGGGTGGAGGAGACGTTGTGCACTTCCTTCTGCCCTCAGGCGTTAATTGGCCTTGGGGGAGGAAGGGATCAGCAGAGCCTCTGCGGGCCATATCCGGCCCATGGAGGCCCTTTTGCCCACCCTTGGTCTAACTACTAGACATAGTTTCACCCGTGTAAAAAAATAATAATAATAAAACATTCATATATGACTGTTAGATTACACTAATCATTCTACATAATAGCTTCAAAATCTAGATTTGCCCCAGAATTAAGGGATGAATATATTGGTTTGTGTCTCATCTTCTATCCAAATAGATGTATAAAAGCAAAAATCCCCCTTGTATTCCATCAGACTAACTGGGGTACTGATCAGGATGATCTTTCTGTAAATAATAAATTGGCTTCTACTATAATTACAGCTTTCTTAATGTTCTCGTTTATTTATATAAAAAATCCTATTGGTGCTGCTTACAGAAGTGCAACTCAAATTCCTATTCCCAGAATATACATGAATGTACTTCATTTTACCTCTTATTTTTTAGTAGCATAACAAACTAGAGTATATTATGCACATTTTAAGATGGACTAGGAAAAAAACACAGTGTTAAGTAGATAGAATTTTTTTAGCCTTTTTGAGTCTGTAGGATTAGCAAATAAGACTTTGTCCAAGTTCTTAAGTATCAATGCAGTCTCTGTATAGAGAGCTGAATGTAAATTTGTTTGAATGCTGTGGTAAGGAAGATATTTTTGTGTTTATTTCTAGTGGGCATTGGTACTTAACTTTATAAATGTCTAGACTAAAACATATTAGCTAAATAATTACTTATCTAACTAAAAAACTTCTCTTTTGGTTTCAGATTTTCTTCCCTTTGTGTGTGATGGCTGTTCAGGAGTTTTTTGGTAAGGCATCATCTATGATCTTGTGAATTCATCTGTAATAAATAAAAATACAAATCTGCAGTTAGACGAAGAAGATGGGCATATTCCAGAGGGCATGTTTGGTCTTCAGTTTGTGCTTTTGATACTCCTGACTTAAGTCAACAGGAAGACGATTTTTGTACCTAGCCAGCTCAAAACAAAGTTGTCTCACTTAGAGCTCCCTATATAGGATTTAAAATTCTTGGAATGCGTACTATACGTTTAGCTCTTTTCTTTCCCAGTTAAGCTGTCAGATAAAGCAGCTCACTGCTCAGATGCTTCTTACATTTCTTTTTGCTTTCTGGTAATATTTGATCAAAGTCACTTGCCTGCTCCCAATACTGAGAATCTTGATAAATAAACATTCCTATATTTTTCTTTTTGCTTTCTGGTAATATTTGATCAAAGTCATTTGTTTAACTTTAATACCCCAATACTGAGAATCTTGATAAATAAACATTCCTATATTTTGATGTGACACTCAAGATTAGATTTTGCTCCTGTTGAAGATGTTCTGTTTTGGAGAAATAAATAAATAGTCATTGGGACAGAGAGAGGGAGCCTGGTAATTAGAGTACCCATAGTCATTGGGACAGAGAGAGGGAGCCTGAATGTCTTTGTAGCCTGGTAATTAGAGTACCCCTCTGGAAGATGAAATGCAGTGTCCAGACCCTCTGCTCTATTGACTAGGTCTGCCACATCATGGGTGCTCTAACCACTGGATTGAAAGTCATAAGGGAGGCACATCCTCTAGTCCCTTTCCCGGATTTTGAGTGTGACTCTAGGCATTTATTGAATTGAATCATGCAAGCAAGATAGGCTGTTTTCCCCTTGTCCCATCCTCCTTGGTATGTGGATTGCTTTGGGGATTAGGCATGAGATTGGCCTCTAGACACACAGAATGGGACAGCAGTACACATGTCTAGGGGCAGAAACTTAAGTGACTAGAGAATTTTCACAGCAAAGATTTAGGTGCTGAATGAGTTTATGGTTAGTTAGGCCATTGCTGTGTGGGGTTTTATGGATCACTGTGGAGCTTAAAACTGGGACTAGAACAGGGATTTATCCAGCCATTCCTTTGAAGAGCTGGGTTTTAATTTAAGCATGTAATGCTTTCACCAAAAGCATTTTGCTGAATTTGGATCTGATTTGTTTTTTAAACTAAACCTTCATATACGGTCAGGAACAATATGACTAGAGTCCTAAACATCTGCAGATACTGCTTTATATCCACAGATCTCTGTAGATGTGGATACAAATTTAGTTTTTAGAATCCTGCACATTTGCAGGTATCTGCTTTATACATTTGGGAATTCACATTCGCAGATGTGGATGCAGATACCTGCAGCTCATCTTTGCAGATGCAGATACCAATTTTATATCCCACACAGGACTTGAATTATGCCACTTTTAGCTAAAACCAATCTCTTTGGTGGAAAAAAACCCCCAACCCTGTAGGTTGGGACAAGTTTTGGTGGACAAGAATGGTGGTTATTTAGGTGAAATTGATCAGGATGAAAGCTATGCTACATTATAGCTATTCAAACACATACATACACTCATGTTTTCTTTTTTGAAATGTTGATTGTGATGGGAGTCTTTTTTTCTTTAACTTTAAGCCTTCAACATAGAAGCCGGGATTCCCATGGATGTTCTGAGGTAAGTTGATAATTTGTGATTCCTTTGCAAGACTTCAAAACCCTATGAAACCTGGCTATTGGGAATGTTAAATTCACATAGCTGCAAATGGAGAATGTTTTGTTTGTAGCTTGGAGGTCTATCTTAAAGCAATCTAAATCTACTGTTTTTCTGTAATGTCAGAATCAGTGCACTGAAGCAAGTTGGATAAGGTTGCAAGTTATTTTTCATTACAGATATCTGTTTACACTGGATGTTTCTTAATAATGTTTAGGTGAATATAAAAAGTGAGAGCATGAAACTGGATCAACAAAAATCTTACCCATGCACATATAAGGCCTGTAATGGAAAAGAGCTTTTACCAGTTTTATGCCCCTTCTGCAAGAAACAGTTTTGCTTAAGGTGAGTCGAGCAAAATGTTGAAACACCTATGCGTTGTAGCTAACATATGGAACATCTAACAAGAGTTTGTTTTTCTGTTGTGTATAGACACCGTCATCAGTCAGACCATGAGTGTGAGAAACTAGATACTCTTAAACCTCGCATGGCTGCTACCCAGAAGCTAGTTAAAGATATTATAGGTAAGTACCATAGGATATTTATTGTATTATTTTCTGTAGCAGTTTCTTTGAGCTTCTGTATTAGTCTCGATGTCCAAGCTTGTCAAAAGAATGAAGGTTCCTTGAATGGATATCCGCTGCTTGTGAGTGCCTACATATAGCCCTGCTCCTATATTTGGAGACATAATTTACTATGTTAGATGTCCCCAAAGTATGCCCTGAAAACCAGATATGGCCCAGAGCTGTCCTCTTCATATAAATATGGGATGAAAACAAAGCCTATCAACTCTGGATTTTATTGCTAATCAAGTCTAACTAGAAACTGCTGTTTTTGGTGAAAGATAAGTATTGCAGTTGTGTGGACTGCTAAAAATGTATGTACCATTTGGGTGCAAACCTTAGGCTGCTGACATGTTGCCTGGGCAGCCTTAATAGAAGCAACGTTTGGGCACTTCTATGGCCCCAGAGGGTAGGCCTATGCCGCAAAGCAGAAGGAACTCTGCTGGACTTGGGTCCCTTGGACACAGAATGTCTGTTTAGTGGAGAGGCTGGAATGTGGTAGTAAAGCACATTTAGAAGCATCGCTTCTACCTCTGTTCAGCTCATGTAACTTATGCTCCCCAAACACTGCTCTGCAGGCACAGATGAGTGCAGAGGACATAGTCCCTTTCTCCTCCCTTCTCCCTCCAGCATATTCCTCTGGCCCAGTTACTAATTCCAGTAGGACTGGCCAGACTTCCTAGTGCTTGGAGTACTAGCAGTTGTGTGGGATGGTTGCATGGGTTCATAGAAGAGAAGGGGATCCCCTCATCAAGGGTATGTCTCAAACTTAAGGGGATTATGGGCTTGAGAGTTCATGATGAAGTCCAAGCTACCACATGCATACAGCTATTTTGGTGCACTATCTTGAGCCCTGTTATTGTGAGTCTGTCTAGCCTTGCTGGGAGGCATGTCCCAGTGGCAATGTAGGCATACCTATAGGGAAGACACAAATTATTCCAGTGCATTGAACTCTAAACATTATATAAAAATAGACACCATAGCAATTTCATTTGTAGCAAAGTGAAAGAAAACATTACTAGCAGTAACATTCAGAAAAAATGTTTTCCTCAAGAGTCTAAAAAGGAGGAGGATGTAAGAAGCAAAAGACGGAAAGGAGCAAAAAACAGTGAAACAGCAGCAAAGGTAGCACTAATGAAACTGAAAATGCAGGCAAGTGGGGATAAATCCTTGCCACAGGTCAGTATACTGTTTTTCTGATTTACTCCTATTTTATTTAAGGATATAAACAGATTCTAGACTTTTGCAGTTAATTTTACTCATTTAGAGTAAAAAAGAATATTTTTTTTTCTAGACTTTTGCAGTTAATTTTACTCAGAGTAAAAAAGAATATTTTTTAAAAAAAGTAAACTTTTTACTTATTTTTATTTCTGTATTAGCCCCCTTAAAATACAATAATTCACACTCATGGTTAACTTCACACATGAAAGTAGTTCCATTGAACTCAGTGTAGTACTAGTGTATAAAATTCACCATGTGCAGGATTATGCCCTGACTCTCTTGTCCGAAATCAAATTCTCGTCTGTTGTGAATGGGAAAAATGGACATGCCGTCCACTATTTAAACAGAAAATTAATCTGCTACACTAATCATAAACGAGTTGCAGCCCAGGTCTATACCATTAAAGGCTGTGAAAAACTTCCTCTGTCTGAAATAGCTAGTTCAGCTTAATCCCCACTGTAGACATAATTGACCTGGCTACCACCTCTGAGAGGTAGATTATCTACATTGACAGAGTATCCCATTTGACATGTCAAAGCATTTACACTATAGCGGCACAGCTGCCACACCATAGTTGTGCCACTGTAGCATAGATGTGGCACAAATCTTAAAGCTGCCCTCCCATAGTATGACACCTGAGAGAGGCTCACAACTGAAGCACTTCCAGCCCTCTCATGTGGGTGTATGGAAGGTACAGTTTGCATATTTTTGTGCCAGCTAGGGGAAATCTGGCTTGTACTTGACTTGAACTTTGCGTGATAGCAAAATGTATTCACACTTCTGCTACAGTTTTGCTCATATATATATATATCTCACCTTCGCCACGGTCAACATTATCCATTTCTTCATAGATTCTTCATTGTTTCTTAATGTGATCATTCAGACCAGCATCTTGTTCTGTTTTGCTTTTTTCAAACGAGGGTGGCTTTTAGTCTGTAAACTTCTTTTTACATTTCCCTCTCCTAGGATTTCATTCTGGACCAGTGCTTAAACATGATCATAAAATATAACTGTTTTTAAGTAGTTTTCTTGCACCTGATTATTTTTAATTCTTTCAGGAGCAGGTGGAAATTAGGTCTCATCTATGGAATTTGTAATGTATATATTGCCCACATCATATGCATTGCATTTCAATGGCAATTACTATTTCATTGCATTACTATTAGGCCTTCTCTTGTAGAACATTCCCTTTCTGAATCTTATTATGACTTCTATTTTTCTACTACAAATTGTGACTTGTTTGGAGAACAAATTAGACATTCCTATTTAAGTAGCAATCATAATGTGAAGTCTGCTTGCAGTACAGTCCTTAGATTATGGCACTTTAATCATGGTCTCCATGTGTACATGTATTAATGTTGTGAGATGCAGGAGGTAATGTAATGAGTGTTGGGTTTTTTGTTGTAATGAACTTAAATTGCTGCTCCCTAACTCAAAAGATTGTAACCAACAGCACAAATGGCTTTATCTTAATTCCTTTCATTATTAATTTGCTTAACTGGAGTTTAATTGTTTAATCATCTAGTTAGTGATAATTTATCAGAGATTCAATTAAACTCCAACCCTCAATTCTCCTCTTTACAGTTCCTTTCTCAGTCTCTCTTCCCAGCCTCCATTCTGTGCTATTGCCTTCTCCTTAGCTACCCCTTCAGCTTCTCACAGATGGAAAGTTGGTCTAGTGAAGTCCTCGGGGTTTCTTTTTCATCAGACCCTTTTCCTTAAACTGGGATTGAGTTTTTTCTAGATTGTTTCCCAAAGTATGCTTTGACTTCAGAATAAATTCAGGTTATTCCTCTTGAGTTTGCTTGGCTTGAGTGAGAGTAGCCTGACTGTGAAATAAATACAGGCAGTCCCCGACTTACGCGGATCCGACTTACGTCGGATCCGCACTTACGAACGGGGCTTTCTCGCCCCGGAGGTCGAGGTGGCGGATTGCTACCTGCGAGCTCCGGGGCGAGAAAGCCC